CACCTGCAGATTCAGACTGTTTAGAGCATGTGGCCATTGCCAACCCCTCCAGATATCCGTTCTACAGCATGGTTTTTGTACATTTTCCTGAATGTAATGTTTTTGAACTTACTGTTAGTATATTTCGGTTTTAAAATGTGGCCCCTATGTTAAGAACTAGCAGCCAGCTGACCTCCCCTGATGATGGGCGGGATGCTCATGGCCATGTCATCACTACCTTAGGCTTTAGCTGGCTGCCAGAGGACTCAGTTATGCATGCACAAGCCCCCCTTTTAAAGCAAGCACGCCAAGTGTGCCTCTCTCTCTCTTTCTCTCTCTCCCTCTCTCTCCTGCTTTCGGTTGGCCACCAACTACTCCCTTTCTCTCCACTCTCTCAATAAACTCCACGTGGGCACTGAGTCTTGTGTTTGTGTTTTATAGGCATTAGCTGCAGCAAAAGAACAACACCCTATCCTGGTAAGTTTTAGGGTAGAGATACAACACACACACATACACACGTGTACACATACCAGAGGGAAAGGGGAAGATGAGGAGAGAGAGAGAGAGGGAGAGAAGAGCTTGTTCTTGTCTTGTTCTGTTGTAAAACTTGCTTGGGGTTCCATGAATGAGTCTTTAGGAATTCAGAGGGGAAAAGTCCCCTTTGAGTGTCACACACCTGTAGCCTCCTTCCAGTGCTAATGAACAATGTCTGTAAGTCCAAAGATTTGGCTGAGACCAGGAGGAGCTGCAGATGTGGAGCTGGAGGGTCATGGAGCCCTGAAGATGATGAGTGCTTCAGGGGAGGATGCTGCTATTTTTCAATGTAGAAATGCAGGTTTAGAGAATGGCCCTCCTAGGATTCTTCAGCTGCTGTGTGCAGGACTCAGAGCCATCATGACTACTCCAACAAAGACTTACTTTACAGCACTTTGTGTTCCTCCCAGCAGGCTGATCATTTCTAGAAGGCTTCACTATTCCACTATCTTCCTTCCATAGGGACTGATAAGAAAGACCAGTATCGGGTATCAGTGACTGATGGTAGCTGCACACTTCGCGGTTTGGGATGGTCTCTCCCTTTCTTTCTTTTTTAGTTTTAATTGGCACATGATGATTATTTTTCCCCCTCTCATTGTCGTTTTTCAATGGTCATCATCTCATAGACCAAATGGATAGACAAGGCTGAGGCTGCAAAGGGCCTGACATTGAGGAGCAATAGATCTGTCCCCTGAGGGTGGCACAAAAATCTGAAGCTATGAACAGTGAGTAGAGTTTAAGTTCAAGAACAGCCATCTTCACAGTGCCCTCTTTGCTGTCACCAAACACTTGATGAGGGGTGATCAGAGAAGGAAGGTTTGTTTTGACTCGTGGATGGAGGGAGATACAATTCATCATGGAGGCAAAGACATGAGGCCATTGGAGCTTGAGATGACTGTCACATTGTGCTCTGGTTGTGAAGCAGAGAGAGTTGGATGCTGCTGCTCCCAGCTCTCTCTATCCTCTTCAGCCAAGGAGCCCAGGGCATGGTGCCATCCTCACTTGGGGTATCTTTCTTTACAGTATCCCTCTGGTATCCCTCTGAGATCACCCCCATAGACACACCTCTTTAATGCCCCAGGTATTGTTTATTCTGATAAATCAACAAATGAAATTAGCCACTACACTCAAACATTACTTAGTTTGGCCTCTGGCCCTGGGTTTTGATTCTTGAGCAGTGGTGGAGTAAGCAGAAAACCCTGGATTTACAGTGTGCAAGCCTTGGGTCTCACTCTGGCTCTCTATGGAGGTGGGTGCAGGCAATCATCTTCCTAAAAGTAACCTTTCTGAGCTCTAGTTTCCTTGTCTACAGAGAAGAAAATACCACTTACTTCTCAGTGTTGCTCTGCAGATTAAATATGGTGATAGGGAAATGTCCTTAGAATGGTCCCCAGCAGATAACCGAAGGATGCACAGGATAAGATTTTCCAGTCTCTTCCCTTGAGTGTGGACCTACTCAGCCTTTAGAAGGCTGGGCATATTGACGAATCCCTTGGTCCTTCTGTTTTTTGTTTGTTTGTTTTTGGTGTTTTTGGTTATTGTTTTTGGTTTGTTCTTTTTGTTTATTTGTTTTTTGATTTGGTTTTTTGAGACAAGGTTTCTCTGAATTGCTTTGGAGTCTGTCCTAGAACTTTCTCTGTAGACCAGGCTGGCCTCGAACTCACAGAGATCTGCCTGCCTCTACCTCCCAAGTGCTGGGATTAAAGGTGTGTGCCACCACTGCCCAGCCCCTTGGTCCTTCTGAATGTTTTTTTTTTTTTTTTTTTTTTTTTGTGAAAGAGAGCTTAGATCTCCTGCCTCATTGACCCTGAGTCAGAAGAGAGCAAAAGAGAGGTCTCTAAGAAACACCCTGCGACTAAACCTTTGAAAAAGTCCAAGGAAGGGAGTCTTTCCTGGTATTGTTAGGGAAAATGATACCCAGATATCATTGCCTAAAGATATTAAAGGTGGTTTAGGAGGGAGAAAAAACAACTCGTCTCTCAATGTTTTATAAGAAATTAAATCAGAACGTAGAAAAATCCAATTCAGTTCGCCCAAAATGAGCAGCAATATTAACTCCATTCCTATTTAAAGCCAGGAAGTACAGCTGTGATAGCTAAGGGGAGGCCTGCCTCCAAGCAAGAATTTCAAAACAAACTCATTTGATGATGGGGCATTTGCATAGCCTGCTTATCTAGGCAAGGTTTGACCCAAACATAGTAGATTATCACAATCCCCAGAGGCCAGACATCCCAGAATTGATGCTGCTCAGTCTGTGGTCTCTTTTCCTAATATGTACACAGGCACATTTCATTTGCCAGGCAGTGTCTGATTTGGCACAACACACCTCTGTCTCAATAGAAATGGGACATCTTTATTTGGAGAAGAATAGATGCAATAGATTATTGTTTTGGAAGTTGAAGCTTTGGGGAAGGCATCGGTAATTGTCACTGTGGGGTGGTGGCTGCTTTGTTTTTCTTGCATCTTTTCACATTCACTAATGTGAATGGAGAGTTTGGGCCCTCTCTTCCAAAGCCATGTGTAATGGCCATGACATTCATTTTGAGGCCATTTTGGTATTGCAAGGTACTAAACATAGTACCAGTTTTCCCCTGCTATTCTGATACCAAAGCAAGGTGTTTGGCAAACCCATGCTGAAGATTAGGGGGCTGATGATGGGGCTCATAGCGTAGTGCTTGCCTAGAATGCACATGGTCCTGGGTTCATTTATCAGTGCCACATAAACAAGGATTGTATACTTACAATCCTAATGCTCAGGAAGTGGAAATAGGAGTTCTTAATCATCCTCTGTTACAGAGACAAATTGAAAGCCAAATGGTATATATGAGACGAGAGAGAGAGAGAGAGAGAGAGAGAGAGAGAGAATCAGAGAGAGAGAACCAGAGAGAGAGAATCAGAGAGAGACACACGGATAGAAACAAACACACACAGATATTAAGAAAACCAGTGCCCACACACTTGCAACAGCAGCATTGCAGCCCTCAGAGGCAAGCAGACCATCTTCATACAAAGGCATCAAGTGACATGTCAACATAAGCAAGGTAGCATCTCCCCATTATAAAGGGGAATTGTCTGTACCATGAAAGGATGAGTGGTATTAACCTTAGGACCACAGGATACAGCTCCTGGAGAGCCACTGGGAAACATAAAGCAAATCTCTATTGCCCAGAAGCAGAAAGACACTTAATAGAAGTGTAATTGAGAGTTTTTTCCCCTTTTAACTTAGACAGTTCAGCTGTGTCGATGGGAATTACTTCAGTCCCACTCCCAGGAAGGGCCAGCTGCCCACAGATATGATTACAAGACCATCCAGTAACTGGCTGCTTGTGCCAGAATCAGCCTCACTTCTCAACTACATTCTGAAATTCCTAGTACCAGGCTTCTCTTGGAGATGGAAATAGTGGCCCCAGAGCAGCTTTTAAAAGTACCAGTGTTAATTGGGAGTTAGCACCCATTAGCAGGACCACAGATTGATTTATCAAATTAGCAATACCTCTCTCCCCTAAGAGCAAGAACTTTGGAATCTTACAGAAGTTAAATTGAGAAAGAACTTCAGAAAACATCTGGCCGTGCTCTTCTATTTGAAGAATATGAGGCCCAGAGAGGGTAAACGACTTGTAGAAGGTCACCAGCCAATCAGTAACAAAGGGGGAGTGTCAGGTTCACTAGGAGCTTGTTTCTAGAATCATCTAGTCTGTAAACCCTTTGTTTTTCTGATAAACAAAACTAAGTCCACACATGAAAAACATCCTCTGTGAATCCATCAGTGAGCTCGAAGATCTTATCCCATGCAAAGCATTTCAACTATGTTAGATACTAGACAGCGAATAAGGGGGGAAAAAAAGAGATGCTGAGCAGCCCATGTGCCCTGCGTGTGAGGCAAGTACACAGTGCCTAACAGAATGATGTCCTCATCTCCCCCACACAAGCCAACATGGAGCACAATTGTCCCAGGGCTAGGCTTCTTCCTGCTACTTTTCCCTAGGTCCCCATACTCAGTGGCCACCCCTTGTGCTCCTTCAGGAGAGAGTAAGACAGGATCCACTCATAGCATTGCCCCAAGTGGGAGATGCTGGGATGGCAAAGCAAGGCTGGGAGTAAGGGGAGGACCTGCCTATGTCTTCTCCTGCACACACTTCTTAAGGCTTACATCACTTCCAGTGAATGAGGAGGAGGGAATCAAAAGCCAGAGAGCTGGGCTGGTAAGTACCAGAGGCAGACTCAAATTCAGACAACTTGTTCAGACTGGTTGTGCTGACCCAGAGTGAAGACTTCTCCCTGTTTCCAGAGGCACAGCCTCATCTTCCCATAATAGGAGTTTGAGAAAGAACATCTTTTCTTTCCTATCAGTAGCATGGGGCATGGTTACTGGGGCCTTCCTCTCCAGGACAGGCAGAGGCTGTGGATGAGGTGAAGGCTGGCCCCCTGGAGGGGAGGGCCCATGTTTGGAGAACAGCTTGTTCCAGTAACCTTCATTGTCATTGCAGGTCTGGAGTGCAGCTTTGACTTCCCCTGTGAACTGGAGTATTCCCCTCCCCTCCACAACCATGGGAACCAGAGCTGGTCCTGGCGCCGTGTACCCTCTGAGGAGGCCTCGCAGATGGACTTGTTGAATGGGCCAGAGGCAGAGCATTCTAAGGCGACGCCCAGAGGTAAGGGGAGAGTGTCCTGGGTGATCATGGATAAGGATCATCTGCCCATTTCCTTTGAAATGAAGGGGCTTTCCCAACTCTGTTCTGTCATTGGCTCCTTGAAAATACTCGTTGAATATCTATGCTTCTCCATGGCTCCTTGACCCATGTATAAGGGAGCGTGTGAATCTAAGCTTAAAATTAATCCAGCCCTTTACTCTTACCAAGTAATAGAGTAGGGTTCTAGAACTCTTCAACATAGATTTCCCAAGGTAAGATACTGAAAACATGTTGATCTGTTTGTCCATATGGAATGGGGTTGCCAAGCCGGAGTAACTCGGTTGATTTGAATTTCTAAAGAAGAATAAGTTCTTAATTTTTTTTTGTATGTCTTAGGTGATGCTCAGAACATACATAGACCAAAACCTATTCCAATCATATGAAAGACTTCAAGTGTGATCTGCATTTTCATTTGCTAAATCTGCCAATGTCAATGGGGAAGGTGCAGTATAACTGGTTTAAATATGTGTTTCAGAGTCATTCATGAATATTCAGGCTGCATGCTTGTTTTTACACGGTGCTATCAACAGTCCCGAGCTGTTTATGAATATCACCTGCCAAACTTTTAGGACCTGAAAAGTAGATACTGAGTCATGATCCTGGTTACATATTTGGAGAATATTTTACAGGGAGATGTGAAAACATTAAGCTCCAATCTAGCCTTCTGGTCTCTTTATCCAAGCTGACCCATAAGACTTCCAATTCCTTGGACACAGAAAACCCTGCTGGCCCTTAAGTTGACAACATGGGTTTCTGGTTTCTAGGAAGAGGTGAAGACTGAAATTGGAATAGACTCACTAGCCACAAGTAGGACTTGCCATCCTTCACCCCGCTCTGCTGGATTCAAAATTAGTCAGGGGAAAGGCAGGACTCAGAGGAAGGGAGTGACTGGACCAAGACCACACAGCATGCATTTTCATGGGCAGGTCTACATGTCTCCTATGGTGAGTGCCAAGCAAGGGCTCTTTTCCCCACGTCATGTTTCTTTGTCTGTAGCAAAAGCTATGACCAGAGCCTGTACTGAACCCACGTTCTTGGGAATGATTATCATGGGTTCATACATCTGCAGAGTCTATCAGGGGGAGAGCTCATGTGAGCTAAAGAGGTGGCATAACAAAATTAGTGCTCCCCCTCAAAGTCCTGGCTTTCTGTGGGTTCTGGGGATCAAACTGAGATTTTCATGATTTTACAGCAACCACTTTACCCACAGCTGTCTCTGACTCTCAGAATTCCTAAGTCTATTTCTTAAGTGATTCTAAGTCATATATTCACTTGTGTACTGTTGACAAAAGCCATTTCTTCAGGTTTATTTTGATGGTTAATAGCCACTACTGTGATTATCTCTGGATTCTAATATCCAACTTGGCTGGCTAGTTTTATGTCAACTTGACACAGATTGGAGTCTTTTTGGGAAGAAGAAACCTACATTGATAAAATGCCTCCCCTAGATTGGCCTGTGGGAAAGCCTATGGAACATTTTCTTGATTGCTGGTTGATGCAGGAGTGCTTAGCTCTCTGTGTGCTGTGTCACCCTAGGCTGGTGATTCTGGGTGCCATAAGAAAGCAGGCTGAGCAAGCCATGAGGATCAAGACAGTAAGCAGTGTTCTTCCATGGTTTTTGAGTCAGTTCCTGCCTCAAGTTCTTACCTTGACTTCCTTAATGATGAACTGTAATGTGCAAGAATAAGGTGAGAAAATCTTTTCCTGTCCAAATTACCTTTGGTTGTTAAGTTTTAGCACAGCAATAAAACCCTAAAGAAGACTCCAACTTCTTAAAATCTATATTTTTAAATCACTGTATACATATATAATTTTTAAAATAGCTATAGTTTAAGGATTGACTGGGCCACCACAATGTAGTGATTTGGAGAACACAACAGCTAGACTCTGCATGAATCCCACAGACTCTGTGATGACAGATGCTATGCATCTGGAAGTTGGAACCTTTTACATGTTTTAAACAGTGGCAATAAATTGTGTACTGCTGACCTATGGCCTGCATCTCCTTCTCTGTCTTTCTCCTTGTGATTTCTGGTGTGTGCTGTGTCACACCCAAAGCTATGAGAAGGCAAATAAGGAGAGGAGAGGAAGGAGAGAAATGTCTGTAGTGTGACATATAGCAGGTACCTTTATGTCTTTATGAAGCTTGATCCCAAGGGTTAGTACATGCAGTGGATGCAAAGCTTCTGACATTAGATGACTCAGCCAGGATGGGAATACCCATTTTTAACTACAAATTTGTCAAATTCAGTCTCTCTGAAAAGCTGCCATTCGTATGATGTATTAGTATGTTTTACCCATAAAGACTGATATAAGCAACCACAACAAAAGCCATTGTTCATGTACCCCTTTGCTTTATCAGACCCTTTGGTGATGCACATGTTCCTACTGTCAGAAATTACACTTGTGTTTTCTTCCAAATGCAGGAGCCTGTATTAATCAAGGTTTGCTAAAGGAACAGAACTGATGGAAAGAGAGAGGGGGGATATTAGAGTGTCTTACAGGCCATTATCTGAGTAGTCTAGCAATGGCTGTCACACAACAGAAAGGCTGGGAATTGCCATTTGTTCAGCTCATGAGAATGGATGCGTCTGTAGTCCCATTCTGTTGCTGGAGTCCAGGAGGATTCCTAGAGAGCTACTGCTCTCCAGTTTGTCTTGGAATCCTAAAGAAAAAGGTTCTGATACCAGCTCAGGAATGCCTTAGTGACAGGATAGATGGACTTACCAACAAAAGTGAAGACAAGTAGGCAGAAAAAGTTTCCTTTTATATGACCTTTTATTTGGATTTCAACCAGGAGATGTGGCCCAGATTTGGGATGAATCTTCCAACATCAAATGAGTCAGTAAAGAAAATTCTTCCCAGGAGTGCCTAGTCCCTTGGGTTTTAGTTCATTGCAGATGTAGTCAAGTTGACTGCCAAGGTTAACAGTCAGCATTGACCAATCAAAGGAAAAGGGGGGATCAGCCCCCCACCTACATGCTGTGGGGATTTCTGCACAGAATTTACAACCATGGATATCTCTCTACTTTTCAAGGCAATTCACTGTATCCTTCCTTATTCCTTGATGTGAAGCTGTTCCTAATAAAGAGGGCTGGTATAATGACATCTCCTGCTCTCCATATACAGGTATGAAGATAACTTTTCCAGTCTGGGCCCACAGTACAGTCCTAATGCCCTGCTCTCCAGAGTCTCTGTTTCGCAGCTGTTGTGGGGGAGCAGGCTTACAGTGTTGATAAGGAGGATTAATGGGGTGTCCTTTAGGGTTTGATCTTCTCTTTTAACTGAACATTTATTAGTTGGATGGTATTTAGATTATGTTGCAATATTTCTTGTCAGGGATAAAGATGGGCCAGCAAAAGGCAGAAAAGTAATAACAATCACAGGTAATGAACTCATAGATTATAAATTTTGAATGTTTTTAATTTATGGTTCCTATAACTGAGAACAATATAGGGCATGCAATTTAGACCAGTAAGATAATAAAAGCGATCATTTTGATAGGACACAATACTTACAAATTAATAAGCTCTTGAGGAATCATCATGTTGGGGCATTCTCTGACTTTTCAATTCCCCAGGACATTTTTCAATGCAGACTACTTCCAATGTTACAGAATGAATTCAAGGGAGCACACTTTTCTTCTCCCAGCAAGACTCCATTTTGATCTCTGTTATGAACTCCAGCTTAAAAATGAAAGACACCTTATCAGCCATTCCTAAGTGTCCCCTTCCTTGCACCATACCTTCTTGTATACAAATGAAGAGTGAACTTAAGCATATGTCTTTTCTGGAGTTCTAAGTCTCCAGTTTTCCCTTTGTTTTACTTTTGGTGATAGCTCAGATGGAGAGCTGCTACTGAAATTCTATTTTCATAAAGGTGACTTAGTTTCCAAATGGTTGAAACACATCATCTTGAGGCCTGGAACAGCTTCAGATGCTTTTGAACATGACTAGACATCTCACCTTAGTTTAGCTGCTAACTTCGCATGACTGTTCTAGCAGATTGATCAAAAACTGGGTGGTTTACAGAACCAACCCAGATGTGGATTTTTCTCCTGAATATGGAAGCCAAGAGATATACATCAAGCCACCAACAGAGTTGGTACTACTGGAGTCACTGAAGGAGATTCCATCCCATGTCCCTGCCCTGGCTCCTGGTGATGGCTCCTGCCTTAAATCCAGCATGATTTCTTCTCAGGATCCTTAATTAAATCTGCAAAAATGAAAATAAAAAGTCCAAATGCCTTCTTCTTCATAGGTATTGGAGCTTTGGGTTCTTCTCTCCTATCTAAGTTGGTAGGTAGATCCCATTCTTTCTCTCTGCACCCACAGGCTAAGCTCTCAAACCTTCAGGGAGTCCAGTGAGGCACATTTAGAAGATACCATTTAGTACCAGAATTGCTAATCCTTCCTCCTACGTCAAAGGGCTTAAAAGTCCTCAAAGAAATCCCAGAAGGCTGTGGTGGTAGTAAATATTTGTACTCTCATATAGAAACTTAGGACACTGAGACAGGAAGATTCCTGGTTGTCCTGAGCTACCTGGTGAAACTCAGTCTCTGATACAGTCCCACACCCACCCCTCATGCTCCAGTAACTCTTACATGTTGGGTGGCTGAACTGCTCTGGGCTGCATGTCCTGACTCTTGAGGCTTAGGTTATGGATAAATGATAAGAGTGATTAAATCTGCTGGGTTTCTTTTACACATTGAAACTCATCATTTCTGTCCAGCCTCCATTTGCTGATTGACTGGTGTCTGCTCAATTAACCCCTCAGCCACTGAGTCCTACATGTGTTCGTTTTCGCTCTTTCCCAATGGCAAGTTCCACATGTGTGTAAAAGCAGGGTATGTCTTTTGTGGACAAGGACAGGCTGCCAACAAGTTGGAGATGAGACTAGCTCAGAGCTGACGAATCACTGTGCTTTATCCCAAGAGCTCTACCCTCATTCCTGCCCTGATGGTGGCATGCCCCAGTGCAGGCTGCGAGTATAGCAGTTACAACCCACAGGACCCAGTGGTTGCCCCTGAGGTCACTTAGTTAATGGGAGTGAATAATTGCATGTTTCACTTTCTCTATACAAGCAACCTTTATCAAAGACCTCTGGTTTTAGAAGGATGTTGAAACAGTTGGAAAAGTCAAGAGTAATAATCCACCTGGAATAAAAGAAAAAATGCAATTGAGATAATGGGTGATTTGCAAGCAGGGATCTGAACAGAAAAATGTTCTTTCTTTTCGTTTATTTCAGACTGGTACTAGGGCGTCTATGTAAGACTCCTCAAGTTCCAGCTCCCCCAAGCTGTCTCAACTTCAGGCAGTGTCTCCAGGCTTTGCTGTCTTTCATGGTCCTTCATGATATGAAATCATTTTGAGCATGTGACCATGGGTAATACTATTGGCAAAGTTCAATTTGTTTCTTTTTAAGATGAAAAGAAATATAACTGTGGCCACACTGAGCCCACTCTCCTGTTATAATGGAAACAGACTAGCTACTTAAGTCTTCTCACCCTAGTGGCATGGTTACTTGTAGCCCTGCCTTCCTTGGTTTGAAAGGAGACTTTTGGTGCAGGTTTCCACTGTTCACTCAGCTCCCATAACCTATGGGTATTAACCAGAGGCTTCTTCATCAAGAACAGGGGATGCTTTGCTTCTTCCTCCAGACAGGTCTAGATTTCCAGGTCTTGTTTAAGTTTCAAAGACTTTTAGTCTTTTTTTCTCAGTATCTGCATCTGGTTTTCCCAAGGAGGTGGGGTGGGTTAGGATGGGAATAACTTTTAGGCTGAGTTCCATTAGCATAATGGTTTTCCCAAGCAACAGGCATTTTTCCTTCTTAGACCTAAGGTATGTAATCATAACAAATAATTTCTACTGACTCATCTAGACTCACTTATGAGGGTGAAAAAGTAGAAATATTTTATGAACAGAACAATGAATATTCATTAAATAAGATATAACATGTCTGAACCACTATACTTTGTGGGAATTGAGAACCTGAGTCCAGTTCCTGGCACCCACATCACACAGTTCAAAACCACTTGTGACTCAGCTCCAGGGCCACCTGATGCCTCTTGTCTCCGAGGGCATCTTCTCTCTCTGTCTCTGTCTCTGTCTCTCTCTATGTCTTTTTATCTCTCTGTCTCTGTCTCTCTTTCTCTCTCTCACACACACATATGCACATACACCACTACCAACAACAACAAAGAAATATATTTAATAATATAGGGAAATATTCAAGGCCCATTAATAGGTTAAAAATTAAAACAGAAAAGGTTTAATACTATGTATAAGAGAAATTGGTTTTGTAAAACTAAACAACAGTGACCACACACAAAAACAAAACAAAACAAAAACAAACAAACAAAAACTCTAGACTTGTTCACAAAGGCAATAGACCAATAGACCAGCCTTGTAGTAAATGTTACTTTTGGGTGACTCAATTGCCAGTGGTTTTTGTTTCCTCTGTGTGATTAGATAGTATTCAGGTTTGAGCACAGGCACTGCATCCCTTTCATAATAAGATTAACACATTGTTAATTTCTGATCCAAGTATGGTTTGAATTAAATGGCCCCCATAGGACCCTAGGGAGTAGGTATGGCCTTGTTGGAAGAAGTGAATCACAGGGTATTGGGCTTTGAAGTTCAGAAGCTCATTCTAGGCGCATGGCTCACTCTTCCTTTCTATTGCCTGAGGATCCAGATGTAAAACTCTCAGCTCCTCTCTGCTCCTCTCAGCTCCTCTCCTGTACCAGTTCTGCCGGCACTCCATCATGCTCCCCACAGTAATGATAATGGACTAATCTCCAAACTGAAAGCCAGCCACCCCAATTAGATGTTTCCCTTTATAAGAGTTGCATGGTCAGCATTACCCCAAGATACTTTATGTTGTTTGTGGCTATTGTAAAGGATGATTTTTTTCTCAGCCCCTTTATCGTCTGTATATAGTAGGGCTACTGATTTTTTTTAGTTAATCTTGTATCCTGCTAATTTGATGAAACTGTTTATCAGCTGTAGAAGTTTACTGGTAGAGTTTTTCAGGTCACTTATGTAAACTATTATGTCATCTGCAAATAGTGACAGATTGACTTCTTCCTTTCCAATTTGTGTCCCTTTGATCTCCTTTCACGGTCTTATTGCTTTAGCTAGAACTCCAGCATGTATCCCTGGTGTATGAAAGGACTTTGGAAGCACATTCCCTATGGAGGGATACTCCCTTAGCCTAGAGGCAGGAGGGAGAGCCTAGACCCTACTCCAAATGACTTGATAGATTTTGATGACACCTCCTAGAAGGCATCACCCTCCCTGTGGAGTGGGGGGAAGATGGGATTGGAGGGGGGTTGGGGAGCTTGGTGGGGAGGGAGAGGGAATTGGGATTGATATGTAAAATAAGAATATATATATATATATATATATATATATATATATATATATATATAATGAGTTGCCATGGTTGTCAAGGTGTCTCTTCACAGCAATAGAAAACCTAAGACAATCTTCTACTGAGTTGGCTTGAACCTTTTAGGACATAATGTTAATTGCTTTATTCTGTAACAGCCCTAAGTGACAGTGAGACCAGTTGGGTAAGGTAGACAAGCAGAAGGATAAGCACATTGGTTTCTTACCCTGCCCATGGAGGGCACAGTGCAATGCCAGTTGGCATCAGCTAGATGGCGTCATTGCCAGATGGCATCAGCTAGAGCATTCCTACATCTACCAGATATCTTCTCAGTTCATCTTTGATGGGTAGACAAAGATATTTGTGAAAATAAATTAGCAGTGGGCTCGAAAACACACCCAGGACCAAGGATAGCATTTAAGCAGAAATGGCATAGACATCCCTACTTC